GCCTTGGGCCTCCGCAGCCCGGTATCGCTGACCGAGCGGCACGGCCTGCGTGTGCCCAGGGCTCTGCCCCTCCAACAGCAGCACTGCTTTCACCTGTACCCCCTTACTGCACACAGATCCCATCTTTCTAAACACAATAGAGCTGTCCCGGGGGTAAACCTCATCCCCTTCCCTCCTCACCCACACAAGGAAAAGAGAAACCATGGCTTCGAGGCGCAGTGAGAAGGGACACGCTCCTGGGGGGAGCAGGGGAAGGGGCTGCGGCGTGTTCATTACCCATCTACAATTCCCCAGGTGCACAAATCTTCAGGAAAGCTTTTGAAAGGCAAGGGTGCAGCAAAGCTGGGGCCTTCTGCATCCTCAGCCAGCTGCTGAAACTTTATTATCTTCAAGGTAATACAAACTCTATTTTTCATGAACTTTGTGTTAACAGCACACTGGAATTCCAGGAAGCTTTAAAGACCCAGTTCTAGGTCTTCCAGTTCCTGAAGGAGAGCAGTTTCCTTCTGAATCTTCTCCAACTAGAACAAAAAGCACAAGGTATCACAGATGTAGATCACTATAAAATGAAACTGGACTAACCTGCAGACATTGTAACAGTACCTGATTCTTCTCCAGCTGTTTGCCAGCTGCTGCTTGTTCTTTCAGCTGCTCAATTGCCTTCAGTTTCTGTAAAAAAGAAACCAAAAAAACCCACACTAACACAAAAATATTGGTGAACCAAGAATAGAAAGAAGTTCCTGCACTCGCAACGCCTGGTTTGTGAGGAGGCAGGTCTCAGTACGGAAGGCACATTTCATTGAACCCCCTCTAGGTGCTCAATCCAGAGTTCCCCACCAATGAGACATTTCTTTCAAGAGAACTTACAGAACAGAAGCATTCCTTAGTCTCTGAAACAAACATCATGCATTGTCTCACTGAAGGGCCAGATCCATATCCAGACATTGCTCCTCCACTACCACTGTCCCTCCTCACAACACATCTTCCTCAGGAACTCTGCCCTGATGCCATTTAGAAGTTAGGGAAGAAACCAAACCCACAGAGCGTGGTTCCCCTCGCAGGTCCAGTAGCGTGCAGCCCACCCAGCTGCTTTCCAAGCATGAGCCCCGTTAAGCTGGAGGAGCGGGTACACGTGCAATAGCACCAAGTGATGAGCTCCACTTACAAGATGGAAAATCAAAGGAAGTTGGTTTACAAATTCAGGAAATTACCATCGACACAAATGCTGTCCCACTGAGCTCAAGTCACTTTACCACCAGAGTAGATCCTATAGACCATCTCCCAGAGAAACCTGCTGTTTGTTAGAAAAAAATTCTCTCACCTTTTTTAGATTCTTTATCTTCTTGTCAACTTCGGGATCTCCTGATGTAAAGGCAGGCACAGCGTTCCGGGGCGCATTCTGCGGTGCTGAGGACTGTGTAGATTCCTGGTTCACATCACCTTTGGCCTCCTGTAGACAAATAAACACATTATCTAGAAAATGCCTTTGATTACAAAGGGACTGAAAAAAATCTTCATTCATTCCAAGGGATCCATTTAATATTTCTTCTTTCATTAGTTTGCTGGTGTTCTCCAAAATTTGTAAGTGACTTGCTTTGATGTATTGCATTACCTATACATATGCTTTCCACAAAAAAAGCTTTATCTATAACAACCCACATGCTGTTTCTTGTTTAATTTCTACTTCCTCAAGACACCAACCATACATAGCATAGGGAAACATCAGCAAGGATGACAAGACCAGCACACACACACAAATATTTTATAAAGCAGACTGGCAGGTCACTGTCACTGAAGTAAAAGAAAGGCCTCCAAACCAGTGTAAGAGATTAAAAAATCTTATTTAAAGACACTACTGCATCAGAAGTCAGTAGAAATTTGAAGGCTCATTCCAAAAGCTGATTTTTATCCACCTAGCTAAAGAATAGTCAGCAAAGAGGTGACCCAGAACAGGCGGTCTTTGGCCTGCCCAGATAACGTGCCTCAGCCGTGCCCCTGGGGGGAAACATCAAAGCAGCAAGTCCGTTCTTACCTCTCCCCTAACACTGGAAAAAATTGTGCAGATTGTCTGAAGGTGAAAAGTCAGAATTACTTCGTCTTAACACTGATTTCAGCTAACATTCCCAGCAATTAACCAAAGCTGTTATTTTTAAGTCATCCATTCGAACCTGCTTTAGTCCGATTAAGCGGTCTACCACCCTCCCCACAACACAGCAGGCGCAAGCAGTGAGGAAGGTGCTCAGTGCAAGCAACGGTCACTGCTCTGAGGCTGCTCACTGCCAGTTGTGAAAACTCATTAACCTTATCCTCGAAATAACTACTTTGGCAGTACCTGTTTAGCAGCTTTCTTTGCTTCGTGTTTCCTCTGGTTTTTGAGAGCTGTTTTAGAGAGTGGCTTATCGCTGCTTCCTGCCTGTGGTTTCATATTCTGAGGCGGCTCGTCCTCATGCTGCAAGATGTGCAAAATTCACAGTTACAAAACCTGTGCTCCGTGTTGGCACAGAACACCCAACAGTCAACCCCCAAACCTACTTAAGACAACACCATATGCAAAGATGTCTCCTTGTGACAAAAAGGAAAAATGGGTTGCTGGGAGGGGATCTGGGGCAGGAGATGTCAGATGGGAGCCGCAAAGGGGAGGACATTCAGTCTTTTGGGTTTTTAAGATAACTCTTAATTGAGGAGGTGGATTGTTTCAATGCATATGACAAGATTCCTTGCCCATATAAGTCAACAGAACTATTTTATTTAATGTGTTTTTTCTCTACCACCTCTACTTGTTGATCATTTGCGGAACTGGACACTAGCATGATCAATAGATCCCTCCCAAGCCGAGCTGCAGTCTTTCCTTCAAAAGCACAAGGCTCAAAATCAAAGCCCTCCAAGACTTCAACATCAGGGTGCAACTGTTAAATGTAACTACTACTTTGAAAACTTGCAGAAGAGAAACTAACTAATCAGTAAGTCACTATACTGAAACTTGTTTAAACTGCAGGTGACTTGCTAAAAATCAAATCTCTTTCCAGTGAATAAATTTACCTTAAAAAAAAAAGCAGCTGTTGGGAGGACAGTCAGCCGTCAGTATAGCTGGGTTTGTCAGGTCACCCAAATCAAGGCTTCTATCTTAACCAGAGTACCCAATTTCACTGCAACCAAATTTGCATTTCTTGTTGCAGTGCACATTGTAGAGAGCATTTGTAAAGTTTACAAATGACTTTGCACAAGGAGAGGATTTGGACCTAAGAAATTTCAGTTTTCTAGCATACACTCTGCAGTAAGCAAAGTGTCAAAGAGGATTATCGAGAAAGCCTCTCAAAAACCCCCCAACAGTACTGTCAGTGTGATTAATCTTCTCATGTTCCTCATTAAAAATGTGCACATCTCTGAGGCCAAGCTTCAGAGACGGGCAAAGCAATGGAAGAGAACAGTTCACCTGTGACACTTACAAGCTTGGAGCTCGTTACAGGTTTGTTCCTCAGGGCTGGAGGTCTGTACGCTTGGGCAGGCTTTGGCTGCGCGCTGGGCAGTTCACTGGGAACCGCCTGGTATTTTACTGGCTTCGCTGGGAACATGCCGTCCAAGAAGGGCTGCCAGGAAACTTGCCACATCTCTTCGTTTGGTGGCACTTCGTAGCTGTGTAAGAGGGAGCCCGTGTAGTGCCAGACCTTGTAGCCATTGCTGACGCGCAGCCGGGGAGCACACGTAGCTGTCACAATATGCTCCCCGTCGGGACACCAAGCAAAGTACGTGGAATCCGAGGCTACTGGTTTGGAAATTAGTTTGTAGTTTTTAACGTCCCACACTTCCATCTGTCCCCTGAGATTTCCAAATCCTGCCAGCACAAGGATGTGTCCGTGGGGGCTGTAGAAGACAGCATTGCGGGGACCGGTTCCAAAATCAAACACAGGGTCACATTTCAGATTAAAAACTGTTGCTTTGGCAGGCATAAAACCATACACAGCACAAAACTCGACTGAATTGGGGTTCCAAACAACATCATAAATAGGACCATTTTTTGCTAAAGAAAAAGGAAAATAGGCAGCTCTTGTTAGGAAAGTGTATCTCTACAGTGCAAGCAAAAATAAAATCAATAGTGATTCGTAACTTCACGCTTTGCTAAAATGCTGTGATCTAATTATTGGCAGTGAAAATAAATTCTGCTAACAAGAGAGGTAGAAACAACACTTTATCTTCTGATAATTTTACTTAAGGTTTACAACAGTAACTGCAGCCATTCCAAATTACCTCTGCAGGGTCAGCAGCAGCACTCTAACAGTAAGCATATTTTTGTCATACAAAAACCATTCCTTTACTTTTTTTCCTCGTTATTCAAGTATGATCTCTCAGGACCTTCTCAAACTGTCCCACTGGAAACCTGCAAAAACAGGAGTTTTATACCAGCTGGATACTAGTTACTCTTTTTTAAATCTAAGCAATAAATATTGCACAGCTCAGCTTTGTAGAGCCAAGAAAGAGTGACCTAAGTTATCTTTGGCCTGTGCTCATGCACAGTATTGTATAAAACAGATTTTCAAGTGAGAGAGCACACAAAAAGTGGTTTTACACATAATGCTTAAACTTGATATTGTTAGAAGAGAGAGCTGTAATACAATGAATAAATGCCCACGAGCTACTTACGCAACTGTACAACTGCGCTTTCTCCATTTGTTGCGATGTAGTGCAGAGTTTGCTCTCCATAGTACGAAGCACCTGTTTTATCGACTTCTGTACTCGCTATCGCTAGCACAGCAGTGGCTAACAGAACAGACACACTCATTTCAGTACAGTCACTGTGAGTTTCATATAAACTATTTCACAAACTGCCATGAACAGAGAAATCAGTCGGTTCATGAATTCTAGTTAGCTGCTTGCGTAACAGTGCTGTTACCATTCTCTTCTGAATTTAATTTCTCCTAAATGTTAACCCAAACAGGGCGAGTATCTTCCTTGCTCAGATGAAAAGCATAAACTACATCTATCACTCACAGTGGAATTACGAGAAAGTGAACACACTTTCTCAGCCATAAGATACTCATCTGAGTAAGGCAGACACCAAGCATCCCGATCAGTCCTTGAGTAAAATGTTCCATCGACGGCTCCTGTATGTACAGCTATTTACCCAAAACTGTGTGCCCACGGGTGGTTTCTACGTGTATGTAACACCTTCCCTGGGTTCCAAACAATGCGTGCTGAAGTAAAATGGCTTTTACAAAAATTATTCCAAACCAGCTCATTGCTAACCAACAGCAAAGTACGCAGCGGACTGTGCAAGTCACCCCAACTGTGACAACTGTACAGACTAAGAACTGTTTATGTTCTGCTATAATCTTATGTTTACAGTCTAAATACATTATCATCACAGAATGCAAAATTAAATTTGGGTTTGCTATTCAACTGCAAAATTTACTGACATGCAGAATGTTCTCAAGTACAATACAGAAAGTCATGGAAGTCAACATAAGGAAGTTTTGAGCACTTCAGGGTACGCAGAGCTGTAACCTGACCACTGCGTTGGCGTTAGGGGCTGTCTTCAGGCACCTGCACGTGCAAATTAAACGCAAACCCCACACAGTAAACAAGGTAATTAAATCCACAATGGGGGGAATATAAAAGTTTAAATATACTGCTGTTATACCTTTTTTGTTCCACAGCATTGTCACCTTGTCAGCTTTAAAGAAGCTTTTGTTGGCTAGTGCAGAGGGAGGGCCGCTGAAGTTGGGATACTGATAGAGTCTAACGAAGGATGGAGCACCCTTACTGCCCGGGACGTACACAGCAACCTGAAACAAAGCCACGAGACTTCACTGCAGTTGGTACTCTCGGTAGCACGGGGTCTACTCACTGCTAGCACTCTGTACAAAGATTACAGTAATTTTTTTAAGAAAACCCATAAAATAATTGGGAACAACATCAGAAGTACCTTGGTTGGCTGTGGTCCTGGAGATAACACAAAATCATTAACCTTTTGCAAATGCAGTTTATTTGCAATAGTACCTGCAAAAAACCAGAAGGTCACAGATGCGATGACGTTGACGACAAGCCACATTATCCTGGATTACTCAACAATACCTTTTTATGGGTCTGTATCATGGACAGTAACGAGCAGCATATATAATGACAAAGCATTTATTTCACCGAGCAAACAACCATTACCTCCCCATTTCATCACACATTCTTATTTACAAAACCAACTCCAACCAAGCCTAGGGCTGAAAGCCAGTATTTAGTATTTGGAAATTCAAACAGCAAGGGAAGTTCTGAACCCCACGGGAACACAGCTCGTGTCTGAAGCACGAAGGGTTCTTCGTCTTATCTGCACCGCCCTCAGAAGAAGCAGCACCGGTCACGCCCAGATAACTCGCACCATTACACAGAGCCAAAGGTTCTTCCCTCCCAACTTCACCAGATGATTCTTCCTGGAGGATTCAGAAAGGCCTATTCTGTGCTAACATCACCTCTTTACACAAACACCTTACAGGAAACCTATCTTTAAAAAGCAACAAACAGCAACGACCCCTAGCCGTGCTCCAGCAAGGCAGGCTGTGCTGAGCAGCAGACCTCGCGCTGGAACAGACGTTTCGTGTGTCGTCAGCAGCAGTAGGGCTAATTCTCCGGAAGCTGCATCTCCCACAGGCTGTACTTTTAGTTCCCAGAATAATTCTTGTATCAGCTTGATATTTAAAACAAAACAAAAAACCCACCAAAAACCAAACCCACACACCACTGTTCTACCCCCAGCAGTTTTCTTTCATTCCTTTTTTTTTTTTTCCAATACATTTTTATCTTCCTGGTTTTTTCTTCCCCTTTCTCTTTTTAACCTCTATTGACTCCAAATATTCTACCACTAGTAGTTAATTTCCTGCAAAAAATGCTCTAGCTTCACAACTTCATTTTTGCCATAATTTTAAATTTTATAATGAGCCATTTTTTAGTAGTTCATTGATAGAATATACATAACACAAAAAAAGTAATCATAGATCACGTTCCCTACTGACAATTTCTTGTATCTCATTTATTAGGCCTCTTTAACTGAAACTGAGATGCATTTCATACTAGATAAGTTACTGAAAAGATAAACAAGAAAGTGAAAATATACTTCACTAAAACATAACGATTCTGAATTACAAATTTAAATAGAATTTAGGCAATATTTAAAATAAAGAGCAAGCAAAAGAAGGTATGAGGGAAAAAACCTGAAAATGAAAAAACCACCCAAAAGAAGATGCCTGAATGCGATGAAACGTATAGAAATACTTGCGTACTGAAGTTGTTGTTCTCAAAGAATTGCACTTCATTGTTTACATTCCTGGCGCAAATGCTTTCATCATCTGCCCAGCAAGGACACCTACATTGAAAGGAAAAAAAAGGAATGATGCTCATCTTTAGCAGTCCAGGATTTTTTTCGTCCATTTTTGAAGCCGAGCAAGTTCAAACACGATACATTTCAAATGGACAAATGACATCTGCAGAGTCTACAACTAGCTTTAGTTACTGCCTCCCCAGCCTCCGTGGTGCAAGCTGACAGGGAATCGACACTAAGTGAGCAGTCAGAACTCCGCTGGAAGATACAAGCACAGGCACTGGCTTTCAGCTGGCAGAAGGCTGTGTTGTGAAAGCCAGCCCACACCAAAAGCTCTGTTACCTGGGTCAGATTTTGGAAACCACATTTCTTAGCAAACAAGTGCATCTGGAAATGTTATTTACCAGTTCTGTATCTTTTTCTGGATGAAAGATTTCAAACACTTCCCAGTTTTCACATCATGAAGCTGTAGGTTGGGCACCCCCGCTGTACCGTCTTTAGCAGCTGCAACAAAAACAGAGGTTACAGTGGTGGTCCCTGGGGGTAAAATCTGCTTCACCACGCCAGCCTTCCACCTACGGCTCTACAAGCAACCAAACAGGCATCAGCTTCCACCCCTGAGGGACTAAACCCCAGACTGCTCATTGCGTTACCTACTAACACGAGTCCTTCTACAGTCCGTCAGTCTGCAGAAAGGACTGACATTTGGAACTGCAGGGCTTCTCCCATTGCAAGATCAGGACCACCAGCGCTCCGGCAGCTTTTGTAATGCGTGTTTTTTAACCAAAACCAAAAGCTGTCCTCCTGGCGCTCAATGCAGGTGCGTTCTCCTCTCCTGCACTTTGTTCTCACGAGAGCAACGGAGAACACTCCAGTCCACTGTGCCCAGCGGAGGACATGACTACTCAGACAGCTTACACTTGTCGGTGTCTGTACAGGAATATGAACTGCTTGAACAGTTTATTATTCAAACACACTCTGCACTAAGATCAGTTAGTGATTTTCAGAAACGTGTGATTTACCTAATAGAGTAATTGTTGGTACGTGCAGTCTGATTTAGTGTTTGTAAGAAGGGTCAATGCCAGACACTTTCAGAAGATGGCATCCCTCCCTCCGCCACTATATACTTGATTACCCATGTACTCTTTCTGTACTGCTCAATTAGCTTATAAATATGCCACAATGACAAATCAGGTAATGGAAAGCCTTCAAACCAAATTAAAATACGCAGTGACCCCATGTACTTGTACAGCTGGTGAAATACTCACTTGTATAGGCCTGCCACGTGGCCAGAATGCTATTCTTTGGCGAGAATTCAAGGCAAACTGTCTTTGGAAGATCAAAGGAATGCAGTAACTCAGCCTTGGTGACATCAACAACATTTACTCTGGAACCAAAAGATGCTATTTCAATAAAACATGCTTAGAACAGTTAATTAACAGCCCAGGTAACTTTTCACTCATTTGACTCTTCTAGATCTGTCCCCAATTTGGCCAACACAACAAAATTAGAAGGGCTTTTTTCCCCCCTCCTGCTTTTACTAAATTTGTGCAAGAACACATTTTAAAACCAGATATCCAAGCACAGCAGAAACTAAGTGAAAGCACTGGTCAAAACATATCACATTTTATCTGCAACAGTTAAACTCTGAACCAGAGGCCAGAGGTACTCTGTCTGCAGAGAGTCCATCCACACTTCCACAGTGCTGAAACTGAGCAACAGCCAACAGAAAGATTCTAACTGAACTAAAAGCTGCATTTATCCCATGTGTTTCTAAAGGTGTTTATCTATAAGGATACAACATTTAAGATTTAGGGGTTTTGCGGCTGGGGGATGCAGGGAGACAGGGACAATAAAAAGCAGAGGTCAGACGGCTGAACAAGGTCAAGCAGCACCTCTGAACACCATAGATTAAAGATCTGCCGCGTATGGAATCAAAAGAAACAAAAAAGATCACACCAAGATGCATCCGAGCCACCGTTGCTCTCAGAAGCTGCGTCAGGAGCCCGCTCCTCACCATCTCACTAACCGCTCCCCCTCAGAAATGAAGGCAGATGGACAGTCCCCTCGAACGCAGAGGCACGGCAGGACCGGAAGGATTTGCCATTTGCAATGCTCTCGTTCGCAGTGGGGGTACCTGCATATACAACCTGGCTGTCTGAAAAACATTTTTCCCCAGAAACATCTTCTGGAAGTGGACCTTTCTGACTGACAAAAATAAAGTTTTTAATGAAAAATGAAGAGTCTGAATATTTTGGAGAATCAGAAACAACAGTGAAAAATAAGGAATCCTACATCTAAGTTACCTACTTTAAAAGAAAGAGTTAACTGGTATTACTAAAGACTTTTGCAGATTTTTTTGACCCGTCAGTAAAAACACCAACATTTGAGGAGAAGCCTCTTTACAGCAGCAGCCCACGATGCCCCCTGATGTAAAGGATGATCTCTAGTGAACTCTGTAATGCACCCGGTCTAGAACAACAGAAACCTTGTGATGGCTGCACACGAGATGCACAGATTCGTTATTTTCTGTGAACTTTACTAATAGATCAATCCCAGCAAACCAGGTACTGTCACACTGGGAACTATGAACCAAAAAAACCCAATAAAGCATACCCAGATTCCATGGGAACGGGTGCATTATAAATATGAAAAAACAGTAAAAGTCTCACCTGATATTCAGGAAACAAAGCCACTACTGCGAATCATGCAAAAATAAACTGCTTTTAAAGCGTGCATGCAAACACTCGCACTAATAGCTTTTACACAGAGAACAGTAAATGGGGCATAACCAATCCAGTTTATTTAACACAAACTAAGTGATTAATATCAGAAAATGCACCAACTTTTCTCCATTGCACCAGGCAAAGAGGGAACCATCCTTGCTAAAAGCAACAGCTTTGCAATTTTTTCCAGAGTCCCTAAAGAAATAAGAAATGCACATTAGTAATCAAACATACTGCATCAGTGAAGATACTTTGAACAAAAAGAAAAAGCAACAGACCAATGTTCCTGCTGCACTCCCGAGCAGCACATTGTAACAGTGCAATCTGCTCTGCAGGGGCTCAGGGGTTACTACCTGGGCAATGAGAAGTCAGGCAGGCAGAAAGCCTTCAAACCATCAATTTCCTGAACTATTAACAGCAAGAAAAAATTAACTTATATTTATACTTTTTTAAATTCTGGAGTCTACCTTTTCAGAAGATTATTTCTTTGGTGTAAAAGATCAAAAATAGCAATAATAATGGTACCTTTGAAACACAGCGCTCTCCGTGAAACTCGGCGGCCCATTCACCATATAAAGCCCTTCAGATCCTCTCACTGGAAGAATAAACAAGCAACTGCTCATTTCAAATTCAGAAAACCACCCAAAGCAAAAGCTTTATCCAATTTGTGAATGTTGAGACCGGCACGCACTTCTCCATGCTTGCATTTGAGAGCAAACGAGAGGGTTGTACTGCCTGCTGAGGTGACAGCTTTTCCCTGACCAACATGATTCCAGAAAGCAGGATCTGCCCCAGCTTGGGCTGCAGGTTCTGTACCATTTCGAGGGCAGCTGTATCACTTCACAGAAGCACCGGGGCCAGCAGGGCGCGGGAGGGCTGGCAGCAGCACTCCTGCTTGGCTGCGTCGGTCTGTACGTGAACCACGCAATGGAATACACGCGCAGACGGGGCAACACAACGCCTGCAGGGCAGTAACGCCTGCCACCAAACGCCCTGACGCTGCTCTTAGAGCTGCCAAGCACCCTCGCTTCAGCTCTCACAGCACTGCAGAAACCAGCAAACAGAAAACATTTTCAGCACCAGGGTACAGGACTGCAGGAAACACTGTTTGTACAGACTCCAGATCTCCCCTGCTCACAGCCCTGCACCTCACGGCAGCAAACCACCCCCCAGCAGAGCCCAGGGGTACATCTCAACACTTTACACACAGGCCGATAGCTTCACACCCCCGCATTGAGTCTGGTCTGCAGGTCCCCCATCAGACACCCGAGAAAAATATTCAAATTTACAAAAGATTACAGAGAGCAGTCTGAAAATCCACCCTCAACACCTGCAGCCCCAAGACACCACATGAGGAGAAATATGCTGGTGCTTAACGCTTAGAAACACAGGAAAGGAAAATACATACTGCTTATGGCATGTACAAATTAAACACCAAACAAGAGAGAACAGGCAGCGGGACCCTTAGAAGGAACTACCCGGTATGCAGCGATGAGCCCACAAAGTGCTGTGAGGACGCTTCACCGAGCTGCGAGCTCCTGCGTTTTTTCGGGGGGCCCCGCCAGGCCCGGGGGCGGCTGCCGGGGGCTCCGAGCCCCCAGGAAAACGGCCCCAGCCGCCCGGTCCCGTCCAGCCCCAAGCCCCCGGGAGCGTCTCGCCAGTTTCCCCTCGTCCACAGGAGAGAATTAACCACGGGAAAAGAACAAGCGCCACCTAGAAAACGCGCTTTGACGCCCCCGGACACTTCTCTGCGGGGGAAAGCTCCCGCCGGCGGCCCCGCGGCTGCTCAGGTGGGGAGGGGATGGGCACAAGGAGCCGGCGGCGCCGGGGGAAGGCCTGGACCAAGGGCTGAGCGTGCCCACGGGGCAAGA